GAGGGGAGGGGAGGGGAGAGGGCAGGGGAGGGGAGGAGAGGGGAGAAGCAGACATACTAAGCTACCTGCCAGCCTTGAGAGCTTCCTGGGAGGAGAGATCTGTAGGTCCTTGGTCCTTGGAGTTTGTGGACCATGAGTTCTATAAAACTTTTGCTGGAGGGGGCCTGCCATTAGCTGGGGGCCTGCCATTAGCTGGGGGCCTGCCTGCTTAAACGAAGCATTCAGGCTCCGGATGCTGTGGTTCAAAGCCAGATACTCTCACCAAACCAGAAATGCTCTAAAGGCGTCTTTTTTTTTTTTGGGGGGGGGACTGGGGATTGAACTCAAGCCCTTATACTTGCCACGGAAGCACTTATTCCACTGAGCCATCTCCCCAGCCCTAAAGGCATCTTGAGGAGACCAAAACAAACAAACAAACAAAAAAAAAAACAACTTTTGCTGGAGTTTAAAGGGAGGCAGCCTCCCAGCCAGCTGGAGGGAAGTGACACTCTGCTCTGCCGGCAGACGCTGAGTATCCACCCAGTCCCATCCAGACCCATGAGACCCAGCTGTGGGCTGTCGCTGTCTCTCTCTCTCTCTCTCTCTCTCTCTCTCTCTGTGTCAACATCTCATACTATGTTCTTACTTTTTCCTTGGAGACAGGGTCCTGTTAGTCATTAAGTTTTCCAGACTGAGCGAGCGTGAATCTGTGATCCTCCTGCCTCAGCCTCCCAGAGTGCTGGGATCACAGGTGTGCACCACTGGGCTGAGTGACTAATCTGGCCTTTTGTCACCCCTGGAGAGTCTCATCCTGGATCACAAGCTTCCACCCAGCCTTCCAGACAGAGTTCTTGAAAACCTCCCCCCTTCCCAGCGCACCCGCCCATCAGCTAGCTCCTTGAGGAAGGTGCAAACCCCAGGAAATGTCAACTCCTCCGGGCGCCAGCAGGGACATGGCGGTGCTTTAGCAGTCCAGCAGTCTTTCTGCGGCAGGTGTGGGGTGACGAGCCGCAGAAAGGAAGAAGTGGAGCCTGCCTGCCTTCTCCTCCCTTCCTTCTTCCCTCCCATTTTCCCTCCCTTTCTGCTTCTCCTTCTCCTTCCTTCCCTCCTTCCTTCCTGTTTTTCTCCGGTACTGGGGGTGGAACCCCGGACATCTGCCCTAAGCTACATCCCCAGCTCTTTTTATTCAAAAGCTCCTTAAGTCACTGAGCTGCAGAGGCTGAGCTCAAGCTTGGTGATCCTCCTGCCTCAGCCTCCCACAGTGCCACGCTCACAGGCCTGGGCCACCCTGCCCGGCTCTTCTTGTTCTGCACAAGATCAGCACCTCCTCTGTGGCACAGACCTGGGTTCCTGCGGCACCAAACAGTGAAACCCCACTTCCTGGGGGCTGTGGATCTCGAGAGGACCCGGTCGCCTCTCCCCAGGTGTGGTCAAAGTAGGGAGGCACTGATGGCACTGTGCCCCATGCAGGTGGCAAACATCCTGCTCAACGGCGTGAAGTACGAGAGCAAGCTGACGGGCTCTGGAGAGCCTTCGGAGCAGCCGCTGTCCCTGCGCCGCCTCTGTGCCACCATCTGTCACATGCCCAAGGCCCTGCGCAACCTGTGTGTCAACCACTTCCTGGGTGAGCATGCTCGACCTGGGGCGGCTGGAGGGGAGCAGGGAGAGTGCGGTATGGGCGAGAGCCCGGCTTCTAGGTGCTTCCTACCATCCTTACCCCAGACAACTGCCAGGGGACCAGGCTGGTGGCCCTCCCAAGCAGTCCCCAGCTGAGGGACATGCAGCTTCCCCAGGGGTGGGGGCACCTGGGACTCCACAGAGCCAAAGCCCCACCCCAGAGCTCTAGGACAGCTCACTGGGAACAACAGCCCCCTCTGGCTGTGATATCCGCCCAGGTGTCAGTGTGGCCGATCTTCAGCTCCCACACCCCTGGGACCTTGAGTGGAAGGGCCCCAGGACCCCACTTGCCTTGCATTCCCTCCATGCCCCGGACAGCCAGACACTGGAAGGTGGGGTGACCCAGCACACATGGCCCTGCAGGAGGCAATGAGAGGTGGGCTAGACTCCGGCATTGCAGCCTGGGTCCTGGGACCTCGTGTCATCCCAGCCGCTGGGACCCGGGCCGAGGAGCCAGCACAGTGCGGCTTGGGGTCCGTGGAGCTGGGCTGGACCCTATGCCCGGGCACACAGCAGGGCCCTTGTCACCACTGCCACAGCAAGCCCGGTAGTCCCTTTGGGCAGCAGGGTGCGATCACCTGGTGGGGGGGCCTTCGGAGGCGCTCAGTGGAAGCGGCCCAGGCTGAATCCCACCCTCTGCCTCCAGGCTGGCTGTCCTTTGAGGGCATGCTGCTCTTCTACACTGACTTCATGGGTGAAGTGGTGTTCCAGGGTGACCCCAGGGCCCCGCACGCGTCTGAGGAGTACCAGAAGTACAACAGCGGTGTGACCATGGGCTGCTGGGGCATGTGCATCTACGCCTTCAGTGCCGCGCTCTACTCAGGTGTGCCGGCGACACTGCTGTCCTATTGGCAACTGTGGGTTGGAAGGGCAGGCGGTTCATGTCTCGGCCACCATACGCCATCCAGGGCTGGCAGCAGATGGGTCCCGGGGGAAGCCACCCGGCTGCACCCTCGGCCCTTGACTCTAAACCTAAGGCCATGCTCAGCTCTGGCCCTAACCTCCCTTCCCCATTCGCCACCTCAAAGCCAGCAGCCCTTCTTCATTCTAGCACCCTCAGGAAACGGGCCACGGCACAGTGTGGACCTCAAGCTTCCTTCCTCGTGAGGCTGAGCCCCGCGCAGACAGTGTCACTGTGGGGGAGGCAGCAAGGCTTGGCACGCCCCAGGGCCTGGCAGTGATGTGTGTTCCTGGGTGGGTGCTTGCGCTGTTGGGTGCAGGTGGCCTTATCTGGCCCAAGGGTGGGTTCTCAGCAGCTGTAGAGATGCCACCGGCCATGGGTAAGCTGCGGGGCCCTCGGGTGAGGAAGAGAGTAGGTGAGAGCCCAGCAGGGTGCAGGGTGGCTCAGAGCCCATGCCGACCTCTGGGGCCAAATGCGCCAGGCAGCCTGGGTTCCCCAGGGCCTCTGGTTGGGGCCCCAGGGTAGTGGCACAGGGTCACATCCAGATGGTCACACGTGCCTGCCCCCCTGCAGCCCTCCTGGAGAAGCTGGAAGGCTGCCTGAGCACCCGCACGCTCTACTTCATCGCCTACCTTGCCTTTGGCCTGGGCACCGGGCTGGCCACGCTGTCCCGCAACCTCTACGTGGTCCTGTCACTCTGCACCACCTATGGCGTCCTGTTCTCCACGCTCTGCACGCTGCCCTACTCTCTGCTCTGCGAGTACTACCACAGCAAGGCGGTGAGTGCCGCTCCTCCCCAGCAGCCACCTCCAGGCCACCCTGCTCTGCTGGGACGGCCGGGAGGAGAGGCCCAGCTGCACAACAGGCAGACTTAGGAGTCAGCGCCACCAACAACTTGGCCACCAAGCCAATGACCTGTGACCTCCAGCCTTTAAAACTCTCCATGAGCCAGGGGTGGTGGCCCACGACTATCACCCCAGCAGAAGCAGGAGGATTGCTAAGAACTTGAGACCACCTTGGGCTACAGAGTGAGTTCAAGGTCAGGCTGAACTACACAGGGAGATCCTATCTCAAAAACAAAGCAAAAAGATTAAAAATCTTGATGAATGCAGGGCATGGTGGTCCACACCTGCAGTCCCAGCACTTGGGAGGCCGAGGCAGGAAGAGCTCAAGTTGGATCCCATCCCAGGCAATCTGGCAATGTAGCAACACCTTGTCTCAAAGTAAAAAACAAAGGTCTGGGGATGCTGCACAGTCTAAAGGCTCCAGCTACCATCCCCAGTAACACACGCACACACGCACATGCACACAAAAGAAAAAAAATCAGAATCATTGGCAAATGTCCACGCTGAGTAAGATGGTGGACTGCTCAGCCGCAGTGCTCAGCAGCAGCATGGTGTCTGCCCCGCGCACTCCGAGGGTGCAGGGCAGGGGAGGGACACCGAGCCCATCTGTCCCTGTTCTCCTAGGCACGGATTCTCTCTGCCAGCTTTGAGAGCAACCCCCAACCCCAGAACAGTTCACAGCTCAGCCCTGAAGGCGTGCGACTCTGTGGCTGTAGGGCCACCACGGTGTCTTAAGGCATGCATCACCCCAAAGAGAAACCCTTCAGCCATCGGTCGCCCTAGCCAACGTGCATGGCGCCACCTGCCCCGTGGCACATAGCAGTGTGCAGTGGTCCCGGGGCTCACCCTGGTGGAGCTCACGTCCACACTTGGGTGCTGTTTACACCACGTCACCACGATTGTTTTTTCTTTTTTCTTTCTTTCTATTTTTTTAGACAGGGTCTCACTCTGTATCCTAGGCTGGCCTCCTGTGGATCCTCCTGCCTCGGCCTCCCAAGTGCTGGGATTAAGAGGTGTGTTCCACCACACCTGGCTCCTACCATGCGTTTTGTTTGTTTGTTCGTTTTGTGGGGGTGTTTTTTGCAATAAATGTGGAACTTCAAAATAGTTGCTTTAAGATATTTCCTTGCCTTTTGAGCACAGCAATGCACGCCTGTAATCCCAGCTGGTCATGAGGCTGAGGCAGGAAGATCGCAAACTGGAGGGCAGCCTGGTCAGTTTAGCCAGGCCGTGTCTCAAAATCAATCAGTCCTTCCCTGGCAAGCACAAGGGCCTGAGTTCAATCCCTGGTTCCGCAAAAATAAATAAATAAATAAATAAATAAATAAAATCAGTCAGTAAAAGGGCTGCGACATGGCTCGGCATCACGGAGCTTGTCTTGCCTAGCAAGCAAGAGCCCCTGGGCTGTTTCCAGTGCGGGGGTCAGGGGAGGACACAGTGTGCTGCTGGCTGAGTGCCCGACATCCCTCACCAGTGACCCTAGCCAAGGCTCAGCCTGTGGATTGTCACCCAGCTCTCCCAGGTGTGAGGACAGGTGGCCAGGTATCCTGGGTCCCCTCCTGGGAGGCCGGCAGTGGCCATGAGGATTGCCCCTCCCTGGACCCCATGCCCCTTTGCTGGGCAGAGGGCCACATCTGGGGCAGTGGGTTGTCCTTTCCAATGGAGATGCCTGCAGGTCCCTTGCTGGGTGGTGTCACAAGGGTCCTAGGATGTCCCAGGGACACAGTGTAGCTTAAGGTGACCCTGAGCTGACATCTCAGTGTTTGGGGCAGTGGGCAGGAGGGGGCAGGGCTCTCTCTGGGTGGGCATGGGGAAGAAAGAGGACCCAACCCGGGGACCCTCCTGGCTGTGCCCCACACGATGACCCTGGGGAGCAGGGAGTGCTGTGGAGATGCAGCCTTCTTCAGGTCACCCAGCACCCCGTGTGTCCCCAGCCCGGCTCACAATCCCCTCTCTGGCAGTTCGCAGGGTCCGTCGCAGATGGCACACGGCGTGGCATGGGCGTGGACATCTCGCTGCTGAGCTGCCAGTATTTCCTGGCCCAGATCCTGGTCTCCCTGGTCCTGGGGCCGCTGACTTCGGCTGTGGGCAGCGCCAGCGGGGTGATGTACTTCTCCAGCCTCGTGTCCTTCTTGGGCTGTGTGTACTCCTCCCTGTTTGTCATCTACGAGATCCCCCCAGGAGATGCGGGAGAGGAGGAGCACCAGCCGCTCCTGCTGGCTGTCTGAGGACCCTCCGCCACCCCCACTCTGGACTCTGCCTGTGCCTGAGAGCCCAAGGGCCGGCTCCACTGGAATGTAAATATCGGGTAAAATAAAAGACAGCAGCAAAGCCCGGGGCTCCCGGCCTCTCCCAGGGACTCAGGCAGGGGACACTGTAAGGGGAACTCGTGGTTCTCAGTCCCGGGTGACAGTGCCACCACTTTGTACCCCTGGGAAGACATCTGGCGGTGGCTGGAGATAAATGGGGTTGGGACAACTCAACTCAGCAGGATGCACTTATGTCTAGGGCTTTGCAGACACCCTATGACACATGGAGCAGCCCACCAAATGGTGCCCCAAAGGCCAGCAGTGCTGAGGGAGGGACAGCCTGGTCCCTGGACCACACCGCACTCTGCGTCACAGGGTTACGTATAGGGTCTGTCACGCATGCACTCGTCCTTCTGTCCATACATTCACCCATCCAGTCTTCATCCATCCTTCATCTGCCCATTGTTCATCAATACATCCATCCACACATCATCCATTTTCCCAGCCACCCATTTATCCATCCATCCTTCCTTCCATCCATTTATCTACCTATCTATCCATCCGTCCGTCCATCCATCCATCCATCCATCCACCTTTCCATTCATCCATCACCCAACCACCCATCATCGATCCATTCATCCATCCATCCATCCATCCATCACCCAACCACCCATCATCGATCCATTTATCTATCCATCCATCCATCCATCCATCCATCCATCCATCCATCCATCCATCTTTTTATCTATCAATTCATCCATCCATCCATCCATCCATCCATCCATCCATCCATCCATCCATCCACCTACCCACCCATCAATCCTTTCATTCATTTATCTGTCCTGCCCTCCCCTTTCCTTCCCTCCTCTTTCACTCCTTCCCTTCTTCCTTCCCTCCTACCTGCTGGAGTTCGGAACTGAAATGTCTCTCAAAGGCCCACACGTTGAAAGCTTTGTCTCAGCCCCTGGTGCAACTGAGAGGCGGGGACCCTAAGAGATGAGGCCTCACAGAGAAGTGAGGTCACCGGGGAGCTGGAGACCCACTGTCCCGCCCTGGTTCCCAGCTGCCAGGAGGTGATCTGTTTGCTGTGTGGCTGTAGTGCCCTGTGCTGCCACCAGAGCATCAGGGCAAGTGACTAGGGACTGAAATCGCAAGTGCACAGCATGCCTCTCTGCGGACTCCCAGGGACTCTGTCAGTAACAGGAAGATGGCACGCTCACACTCACCCATCCATCTGCAGGAAGGTGTCAGCCTGTGCCCTTGGATGTGGCAGGGTCAGGGACCCACCCTGTGGAAGCCATGGGTGGAGGGACAGATAGGTGCCAGGCAGGACCAGCAGGGGTGAAGGCTGCTGAGCTGGGCCTGGCCGTGGGGTGCAGCTGTCGCTCTGGGGGCGCTGTCCTGAGGCACTCGAGGGACCACAGCAAGCCTCAGCCTGGGGAAGGGTGCACTGCCCGGGTAGGAACTGAGACCGAGTGGGCCAGGCCTTGCACCCACCACTGCCTGAGTCCCTGCTTGGCAGGCTCAGGGGTCTCCCTTGCAGGCTGGGACCCTGGAATCCCTGCAGCAGGTAGCCTCTGATCCCCTTCCATAATGGAAACCCCGAGGCTCCTGCCTGCTGTCTGGGCCCCCAGTGTACCTCATGCAGGGAACCTGGCCTCCTGTGGCTCTGCAGCCCCCACACCTCAGGGCATAGTCCCCTGCTTGGGGCTTGGGGAGACACCCACCCCATCACAGCAGCCCCAGCAATCTGGAGCCCACCACCGGCTCCAGTGGGACCAGCTCATGGACTGGTGCTCTGTGGCCAGTTCGAGGGTGCTGGCAGGGCCACAGTCTCCATGGTGCGCCATGGCCCCCTCCTGCAGGCCACAGCTGCCAGTCAGAACCTCCCCTCCATGACCGTGGGCTCCCCAGGCCTCTCTCGGTGCCAGGGCAGCAACCCTTCGGGTCCCAGGAGGCTTGGTCCTGCCATACCTCCTTGGCCTGACCTAGCAGGTGGTGAAGCTCCCTGCGGCCTTGGCCCCAGCCTCCTGGTGGTTTCGGGTTTTCCCTGCTGTCAGACCTGGGAGCTCTCCCCAGAGCCTGGGAAGTAAGACACTGCTTCTCCACTTGTCAGTGGCAGCTGCAGCCTCTTGCCTGCACACACCACTGGGGGGAGACCCCAGGAAAGCCACCCTGGCCACTGCAGACCACAAGGCCTGTAGCCTCATCCATCCAGCTCATCTTCCTGGCGTGCAGCAGAAGTGTCACAATCCCATTTCACAGACCTGCCGGGTCCCGGTTCGCAGGCTCAGCTCAGAGTCAGCAGAACTGGCTGCAGAAGCCTGCTCTGAGCGCCTCAGGGAGAACGTGGGGCTGTGAGGTCCCCCAATGGTGGCCTCGTCCCCACAGGCTAAGCCCTGGACAAGTGGGGCCCCTGGGACCACAGCAACGAAGGGAGGAGGAGCTTACCCTGTGCCCGCTGGCTGAGACTCACCCTCTCAGGCACTAACCCTGGAGCAAGACCTGCCTTTGCTCCATGCCTGGCACTCCCACTGCGAAGCCCACAGCCCAGCCACACCACTCTGGAGCAGCTCGTCAGAACCTGGCCATACTGGGGGTAGGGTGGGTGGGGCCTGAGGTGGGCATAGGTTGGTGGCACCCTGGGTCCTTGGACACGACCATTGGGTGAGCCTCCGGCTCGATGAGCTTTTGCTGAGTGCAGGCTGCACGCAAAACTGCTGATGCAATGTGGAACAACAGAGGGGCCTCTGCTCCAGACAAAGCCTCTGCTGCCTCCCAGTGTCGGAGCCTCAGCCCCACACAGGGCCACGGTCCTTGTCCCCCGTATACCCTCCTGCCACGTTCCCAGCCCTGCTCGGCTGCCGCCTTGTCTACTTTGCCCTTTGGTGCTCCTTGTCAGAGCCATCATCCCCCGTGGCGCCTGGATTCCTGGAGTCAGTCATCCACGGTCACCACTGCCACCTGGTGGCCAGGACCAGGAGTGAATCCACTCTGCAGTGGAGCCATCGGCTGTGCCCAGCTGGAACTGTGAAGAGCAGACAGAACCTGGGAGTGAAAAGGGGTCAGGCTCACAGAGACCTTCATCCTTGAGCAGCTCAGTGGCCTCAAGAGTCCTCCTTCGCTGGCACAGGTCTTCTAGTCCTGAAGTCCTGGCTCCAGGTCTCATTCCTCACAGCATTTGTACCCTTCACAGGGCCACCCTGTGAAGCAGATGCCTCAGCTCCCAAGTGCGATGTCCACCAGGGTGGGAGAGGGGCAGCAGAGAGATGGGAGGTGACAGCATGAGACCAGACCTGGGTGAAAGGACCCACTCTCTAGTCCCATGTGCCTACATCCAACGGCACCTCTGCATCTGGCACCCAAGGCCACCTTCTGCAGGGCGCAGCCATCCACCCATTCACGCAGCTAAGAACATGGAGCAGGTGTCTCCCCAAGGAAACTCGGTCCAGTAACGAGATGCCCAGGTGGGGGCAGGAGTCCCATACACAGGGACAGGTTCTGTAGCCCAGTCCAATGTGTCCACGTTGGCGGCAGCTGCTAAATTGGCCACCTTGGGCAGGAGACGTGCAGGAGCGGTAATCCAGGTCTAGAACAGGGGCTGCCCGAGCTCCTGGGGCAGCCATGAACCCAGATAGCACTCACGGAAAGGAGCCTCAGGTCTGAGGGCCAAGGAGTAGAGCTGCACCCCACGAGAGCGCCCAGGGAGGGGCGGACCGTGTCCAGGAAGCTGTGGGCCAAAGCCCTTCAGGGGTTGCTCCGAGTCCAGGGACTGGGTGCGCCCCTGCAGCTAGGCACAGCTCCCCACCAGCTCTGCTGAAACTAGGGTTCCCTGCACCGCCCACCTGCAGATGCCAGGGCCAGTCCCTCCACATCTCCGTGGTCCACAGCAGGATGCATGTCAGCCTGGTTTGAGGTCCCATCTGATTCAGCCAGGGCTGGGCCAGGGGATGGCCCTGTAGGCAGAGAGGTCCCTGCGGAAGGCCCTGACCATGGCTGATCCTGACCCAAACTCAGCAGCAGCAGTACCAGGGATTGTACGGCCTAGACACTGACCCTGGAGGGCCTGTATGCTTGGGACTTTGTCTTTGGGGGTGGGTGCTGCCCCTGCTGGGTTTGTTGCAGAACTGTGCTCGGGCCCTGGGCCTCACACACTGCCTTTCCCCACAGGGCGGAGCCAGAAGGGACTCTGTTCCCAGAACAAGGGGAAGGTCCAGAGGGCGAGGGCTGGCCTGGGACTGCTACTGGATACTGGCTCCTTCTCGTTAATCCTGAACCGCTTCCTGAGTGTGCGGAGGACAGCAGACCGAGGCCTGAGAAATGGCCACACTTGAGGGAGATTTGCGGATCAGTGGCCCTGTCCAACGAGGGATGATGCGATGAGGTCGTGGGCAGTCATTCCCGTGTTGGGAACCTTTGAATTCTGTTGGTTAAGATACAGCCTAACCTGGGAAGCAGGACTCCTCGGGGACAACTGTCCCCTCTTGGCTCCCTCTACTCTCTGGGGAGTCTTTCGGTACTTCTATGTATGCTCTACTCCAACAGCTTAGAACATCAGTGTTCGTCCTCCACCCCCACCCCCAGTGCCATGGTCTACCCTTTCTATGGCTGAATTCCCTATTACACACAGTGAGAAAACCTGTTCCTCCGGCAGTGGATGCTGGGTTTCCCATTGTGGCCGTGGCTGACACTGCTGCAGTACCCGGGGCGGGTGGGTGGGTGGGTCTGTGTGGGGGGGTCTTGACACTGCTATCACTTCCTTGGCGATGTTCCCAGTGGTGGGACAGTCAGCATTCCTAGGGGCTGTCCTGATTTGATTCCATCATGCTCTGCAGAGCAGCATGGCACTGGGACCCGGTCTGGCTACCAAGTCGGGAACTGCCATGCCTCTGCAGCCTGGCAAGCCCAGCAAAGGTGCCCGCCCTGCCTCTCCTGTATCCCAGGTCCTGATTACCTCTAGCCACCTGCTGCCTAGGACGCAGGAGTGGCCCTGGCCACTGACACGTGTCCCCGCACCTTCCACCTCTTGCAACACCCAGACACCCACCACCAGTCTTCATTTCCAGGACTGGCCTCACCCACTTGAGGACTCCTGCCCCCTGGTGGTCACAGCTGTGCCTTACAGGCTGACTGCATGCAGCACCACCACAGTGAGGCCCTCAGTAACCACAGGCTACTCTCCAGCTCAGTGGGACCTGAAGCTGCTGTCCTAAGCTGATTGGGGTGGCACTCACTGCCCACACGGGAGCATGGGATCTGCCAGTGAAACCTCTGCCTGCTCTTCTTGGAAGCAGCTGGGAGCAGTGGAGCCCAGGGCTGTTCCCACATCCCCAGAACAAGACAGCCTGGCCCACACAGGCATAGTAGTAGTGTAGCTTGGTTTTATTTATGTCCACAAATATTTCAAAAAAATTACAAAATACTCAAATGGAGAGAACACAGAAGTCACGATTCTGGGTGTCTACTGCTTACACTGTGTTATCTCTGGCAAACTACTCATATATACATTTAGCTTCAAGATATATAGAAACGTAGCAAATCAGAACGGACACTCTGCTCTGCTGCAGTGAGGAGAAGCTCAGCCTTGACGACATGGAGCGAGACACATACAGAACACCGAAAGCAAAACCAAACTTCAAACGGAAGAAGGAAACTCCAAAGAAAACAAGCACCAGCTTCATGGCCACAGGAGGCCGGGCGGAGCACGAGGGTCAGGCTGGGGGCTTCCGGCTCCAGAGAACCCGAAGCCCTAGGAAACACCACCTGCAAGTGGCTTTCAAGTGCAGACTGCAAGTCTGTCACTTTCTCTTCTTTGGAAAAATGGGTAACAGAGGAGACCAGGTTCAACTGAATGGTACATGTGGGCTCTATCCAAAGGGAAAGACACATGAGCAAGGGAGGTGGGGCCGGCAGGGTGTGCCCGTGCTCCGTGCCATGGGCAGAGCCAGCCTGAGGGCTGGGTGCTGGTCACCACCCCTGTGCCGAGGCAGCCGGAAATTTCATGACAGAGTTCATCTGAACTTGCCTCCAGTAAGGAACTAAAGTTAAGGCAGAAATGGAATGAGAGAAAAACAAAACGAAAACCAAACTACAAACATTTTCAACAACAAAACAATCCTATCTGTCCCAACTGAAACCAATGTGGTTGATAGAAACTGGAGAGTGCTGTGCTGCTGGTTGGTCTAGAGCCCGGGGCTGAGCGCAGGCCTGCTGGGTCTAGGACAGCCCTGTCCTCTGACCCCATCCGGTCCCCAGACCCACACATGGGGCCACAGAAGGGACTCCTGGGAGTCTGAGGACAGGAGGAGCTTCAACAGATGCTGGCGTGCCTGCTGCGGCTTTGAAAAGCTTCTGGCTCCTGGGGGCGGCAGGCCCTGCTCCTCGCCAGTGGGCTCGAGGCTGGGCTCCTGGTCCCAGCTCTAGGAGGCTGCTCGGGACTCAAGTGGTTCACCAGTCGCATGGGTCAGTGTCTGCACCTGCTGTGCGGGCACAGGTGCAGGTGCCATCCACACTGCGTTCACCTCGGGTCTCGCCTGCACAAGGAGATCTGAAAGGTGACACGCACAGCTGGGCAGTTTTCTAATTCCTTTGGCAAGTGCTACGTCCTGGTCTTTCCTGCGCTGAGTTATCTGTATGGAGTCATTTTCTGGAACTTTCTTGACTGTTCATGAAATTTCAGAGTATTATAAAGGCAATTTATCCAGAACCATCAAATGTGTGTGCACAGAACTGTGTAAGGAAATCTGCCATCAGGCACACAAAAATCCGTGCTTTCCATCCCACAAGACAGGACACGGTGGCAGCAGGGCCCTCCACACACCTGTGCAAAGCGGAAGGGGCTTGCACTCACACATCTGTGCCTCAGCCTAGCACGCACGAGCGACAGAGCACGCCGAGCAGCACAGGGGAGTTCGCCGTGGCAGCTCTGCCAGCCCAAGTGCTGTCACTGAACCTGCCTAGTCCCAAGCTCCTGCCTGCTTGTAATTAGTAACACCCATCGGCTCCCTTTAATTAAAGGGATAATTATATATAGCTTTTTATTAAAAAATCAACTCTGTATTCTGTCAATAGCTGGTAGGAATCCATAATTAGTGACATGGCTGGAAAAAATAGAACAGTAGTTTGTGGAAGGAAAAGAAGGCTGTTCTAAAATTATTTATTTACAGACATAAAAAGCCATGCTGCAGAACTTTCTCAAATTATGAAGATTTCCTACAATGTATTAAAATAAAAGATTCTTTTAAAAATTATAGCTCTTGGATTGCAAACTCATATGCTGCCACCTGCACACCCGCAGGCCAGAGCCCACGACTCAGCGTGTCTGCGCACAGTGAGGGTGGGACAGGTCCTACACCTGCTGAGGGGTCAAGGAGAGGAGGCGAAGCCACCGTGCTCACAGGGGTCCGGATGTCCAGCCCAGTCCGGGACTCACTACGTTTCTGGGGAGTCATGCAGGGAGACCCAAGCCAGTCTCGGGAAATCCTCTCAACAAACGAACACTATTATGTGATACATTTTTAGTTGTGGGGTTTTTAAATATATAAAGAAATCTTTAGAAGATATTCTTTTTGCTTTTGCAGCTGCTACTGTATGTAAAAAGTCCTGTTTCTCCCCCCAAGAATTGGGGTTTCCACAGCCAGCATTAACAAATAAATAACTTATAATTGCTTGTCACCTTCTTTCTTCAGTCGGCTGAAAAGAAAAAAACAAGATCAGGCATCAGACCAGGTAAGTGACAGGCGTACTGGATGCCACTGTACAAGCCTGCTTGCACCCCCAGGCCACAGGCACTGGCCTGGGCTTTCGCTGGTCATGCCACCCCCACCTCACCTGTAATAATCTTCCTGGCTGGGTAAGTGGCCGCCGTGCATATGGGGGTGTCCGTGCAGCCACTGCTGCTCCATGGCCAGTCTCTGCAGCTCAGCTGACTGGGCGTGCATGGCCTGCAGCTGGTGGGCTGCCGACATGGGAGGAGGGATGGCTCCAGGCAGGTCTCGGGGGTAAGGGGTTCCTATCAAGCACAAACAGCCAAGAGTGGCTGGGATGAAACCGGCATTCAGTGACCAGCAAAGGTCTAGAACACCTGGCAGCCACATGCTGCTAGCTAGGGATGGTCAAAGCAGCCCTGCCCAATCTCCAGAGAAAGCACCTTCTGGGTATGGGACAGAGCTGCCTCGGCAGACCAAAGCCCCTGAGGGGAGCAGGTGCAGCAGTGCCCCACTGACCCCAACCAAGCCCATACACCTGTGACTATCTTCACCCCAAGCCTGCCTCGACCCCCACAAAGACCTGGGCACAGGGAGGGTGCAAATCCACTCACTCAGTACTTAACTGTTCATGAAAGCCCAGGGCTAACAGACCCCGGCTGGCCCTCCTGTGACTCACCGAAGACGGGGTGGCGCAGCATCTCGTGCTCGTGGGGGGGCTGGCCCAGCAGAGGGCTAGGGAGGGTGCCAGGTGGGTAGGGGAAGCGAGCCAGGTGGGGGCCCGCAGTCAGGGGGTCAACCAGGGGGTGAACTGGGCCTGCTGAGCCTAGAAAGGAAGGAGACCAGATGCTGGCAGTGTGTGGTGTGGCCTTCTCAGCATCTCTCAAGTGGGGCAACTGGGACAGACCCCTGGCCCAAGCTGGCCACAACAAGCACCCCACCTGGCTGTGTCCCTGGCTTCCCAGTGCTTGTTAGGTCTTTGGGAATGAGATGGGGCCACCCCAGCTGGGGCCTCCCTCCCTGCTGAGCAGCCCCTTACCCAACATCTGTACCACGGCTGGCAAGCCCAGGATGGTGCTGCCTAGGTGGCTGGTCTGCTACAGGATACCCCTCAACCTCCTTGGGTGACCCAGTGCTGTGCTGGGCTGTCCCTCACTCTAAAGGCCATGAGGCCTTCCTTCCTGGACAACCCGGAGAACTACCCTATGCCCTGCACCCAGTCCAAGGGCCTGGCCGATGGGGGGGTCTGCCGCAGCTTTCTGATTCGGCAAAGGGTGCTGAGCCTGGCCAAGCCCAGAGCTGCCTGTGCTGAAGCAGAACCCCAAGTGCTGTGAGGAATCTGAGCACCCACCTTGGTGGAGGGGGTCCTGCTGGTGGAGGTGGAGGTGGGAGTGGATGTGGGAGTGCTGGTGGTGGTGCGGAGTCACATTGAACATCTGCAGACGCGCCAGGGGGTCACTGGTGAGCGATGCCATGCGCTCCGCGTGGATGCGCTCGGCTGCCAGTCTGTCCGGGTAACTCATTTCGGGACGCAGCTGGGGGCCTGCCAAGGCCAGTCTCTCCCGCTCCAAAGGGTTCAGACCAGGATGGAAAGAGGCGAATGGGTGGGGGCCGGCTGAGGGGGGAATGGTGAGGGCACTGTGCCGGGCAAAGTGCTCCATGGGGTTGGTGGCTGGGTGCAGGGGGTCCAGCTCTGGGGGCTTCACCTCGAAGCCCGGCTTCATGCGCTCTCGCAGCTCACGCTCACGGATCTCCCGCTCGCGGATCTCGCGCTCCCGGAGCTCCCTCTCTCGGATGGTGGGGTCCACATTGTAGAGGCCGGGCATGTGGTAGGCCAACAGGGGGTCAGTGGGGTTCAGGGGCATGTAGAAAGGGTGGTTGCGGTTGGTGGGAGACATGACGTGGGGCCGAGCATACTCGCTCAGTGTCCGAAGAGCAGGAGTGTCAGGCCCGATGTAAGGGGGCACAGCAGCGATGGTGGTTGGAGGGGGCTCGAAGGAGGGCCGCATGTGGCCGGGACCACTGAGCTGAGGGTCACTAAGGCGGCCTTCGTGTGCAGAGCTGGATGCTTTCTGCTAAAGCAAAGAGGGTAGGTAGGAGGGCTGTGTGGGTCTAGAGCTCCACATGGGCCCCACCTTGCTCCCATCCTGCACTGGGGCAGTTCTCCTCCTCCAGGATGGAGACCAAGGCCCAGCCTTGGCCTGGTACCAGCATGGTACTAGGACTCTGCTGTGACAGTCCCATCTGCCCAACCTCCCAACACCCCAGATGGTCATAGCCTTCTGTGAACAGGAAAAGGGTTAAGAGTAAGCCTGAAGACCAGAAGCCTGCTACATGCCCCGTGCACTAGTGCTACTACAGGAGGTCCCCCTTGTGCCATCTTGCCCCCTGCCAAGTTGCCCAGATATGAGGAAGGATGCCCTTTCCCACAGAGCCCCCGGCAGGCAGATGCTGGATCAATTATTCTAGGTCTATCAGCAGCTCTGGGACCCACCAGAGTCCTAAAGATGCCCTAGTGGCTGGCGGCTGGCGCCAACCCTGTGCCTACCCAGCCCTGGGACTCACAGCTGCCCGCTCAGCCTCCCGCTCTCGTTCTCGCTCCCGCTCTCGCTCCTTCTCTTTCTCTTTCTCTCGCTCCCGCTCCTCTCGAGCCTTCTGCTCTGCCTCTCGCTTGGCCTTCTCGATGGCCTCCTCCCTCTTCTTGGCTAGTTTGGACCCAGCCAGAGGCATGAAGTACAGGTCTGTCCGGGCACAGGAGTTGTAGCCCCGGTCCAGGTGTTTGTAGAACCTATGAGAGGCTGTGTTGATGACTGGGCAGCTGTTGGCACCTTGGCCCAATGCCATTACACCTGCAGGCACACCCACGCCCAGACCCCCAGTAGCTGATACCTGGCAGACTGGCTGGCGTGGCTGGGGGTGTCCACCACAGTGGGCTCGGGGGATGGACTCCTTGGTGGGGGTGGGGGGCTTTCAGGCTCCTCAGCATCATCCAGAGCCTCCTCCTTGATATGGACAGTGGGGAGCGGGCATGGAGCTGCCCCGGGTGTGCTGGCTCCTGAGGACAGGGCAGTGGAGCAGGGAGGTGGGGCAGAGGCGCTGGGCCCTGCAGGTGGGGTTGAGGTGGGTGGGCAGGTGGGTGGGGTGATGGGTGGGGGACCGCCAGGGACAAATGGGTGCTGGGTGAACGGGGCTTGTGGGGCTGCCTGATGGAGGCTGGTGGGGGGGTGGGCAGTGGCAGGGGGCTGCAGGCTCTGGGTCAGCCCAGGGGGCTGGGCTGGGGATGAGGGCAGGGGCTGGCTCTGTGGCATGAGCTGCAGGGGTGGTGGGTGGGCTGAGGGTGGGTGGTGTGTGGATAGGGAGCTGAGGGGCTTCAGGGCTGGAGGTGGTGGCAGATTGGCATTCATGGAGAAGGGCGAGGGCCCAGAGAGGTGTGGAGGGTGCTTGTGGGCCTGTGGGGTGGGCAGCTGGGGGATGGGTGTAGTGGGGGGTGGCTTGATGTGAGGCATGGCCAGGGGAGCTGGGGGCAGGGGTTGCTCCCTGGGAGGCTGCTGGGGCTGCAGCGCTGCCTGGGAGGCTGGGAGCTGCAGGGTGCTGTGGGGGTGAGCTGCAGCTGGGGCAGCGCCCAGTGGAGCCTGTGCCGGGGGAGCCTGGGGAGGGAGGCTGAAGGGCTGTGGGGGGCCAGGGTGCTGCAGTAGCTGCCCAGCCTGTAGGCCAAGTGCCCCTGGTGGGCCCTGGCTGTGCAGGGGAGGCTGGCCAGGAGGCCCACTCAGTGGCTGCAGTGGGGGGTGTGGAGAGGGCAGCCGTGGGGGGTGCAGCGCTGGTGCCTGCTGGATATGGGTGTGGGTGGTTGGTGCTTGGGGAGCTTGAGGCTGGTTTGGGGGCTGTCCAGCTGCCGGGGAGCCCTGTGGAGGGACTGCAGCAGTAGAGGGTGTGGGTCCTGGGGCGGGGAGCTGGGCTGCTCCTGGCGGGGCTGCTGCAGGAGCTGGGGCAGCTCCACTGGGTGCCTGTAGGGCTGGAGGCTGGGCCTGCAGCAGCTGCTGCTGAGCGGATGAGTCCGAGTCGCTCTCATTGTCCTGGGGGCTGGGGATGCTGGGGGACGTGCTGCGATTGTCCTGGTCGATGTCTTTGGGGTCACTGCTGCCCTCATCATTGACACTGCGACTGTCGGAGCTCTCTCCCTCCCCTTCGGAGGGCGAGTTGGGCCGGCTGATCTCCTGGAGCCAGACAAGGGGAGAAGTGCCCTCAGTGCATGCTGTCTCCATGCAGTCCAGGCCTGAGCTCCAGCTTGATCTGGAGACAGCCCTGCTCTCGGAGAAGACCCAGGCGCAGGTAGCTGTGCCGGCTCACCTGGGTTTTTGTCTTTTTGGAACTGGCCCTGTCAACTTCCTCTGTATCAGAGGCCACCTTCTCCCGCTGGCGCTTGGTGCTCTTGAGAGGGGATGAGGCCTCCTCCTTCACCTTCTGTGGGGAAGGCCAGGAGAGCAGGACCTGTGTGACTGACCCCTGGTGCCCTCAGCCTTCCCAGCCACCCTCACCCCTTGGAAGCTTGAGGCACAGGTGTTCAAGGGACACCTCCTCTCTCTAGGCCCTGATTCTGTCTGCAGCCCCAAGGCTGGACTCCTGAGGGAGCCTCAGCCTCAAGCGGTTCCCACACCCCAGCCTCTGACCTTAGCGGACTTCTTCACTGTCTCCGCTTTGCTGTCATTGCTGGAGGTGCTGGCAGCACTGGGGGAGTTGCGGCCGCTGGAACGAATGTCTTCATTGATGGGCGAGGCACGGCCATCAGGACTGGTAGGCTGCTTCTTCCGACCGCTACGTAGTGTAGACATCTAACCCCAAATCAGAGGCTGCTGAGGCTGGATCCCCGGCCCCATGTGCACCCACCCAAGCCCAGCCCCCAGCGGGAGCCTCCCAGCAAGTCCTTATGGTAGGGGACAGCAGGCAGGCATCCAGAGGTCAGCATGGGCTGTGGGAGGAGGACTGGAAATAAGCAGCTCATACAACACCCAAGGAGCTGTTTTCAAACCCCAAGCACCCATCTCAGGGACTGTCCTGGACCAAGTGCTGGAAAACAGGGACAGGCCAGAGGTCTGCTGGACCCCCTACTTGGTCACACAAGTTATCTCTATTCCATAGGATTGCCCTCCCTGCCCCCCCCCCAAAAAAAAAACCAAGCAAAAAGAATGCTGACTGTGGAGACACTGATAGGACAGGAAGTGACAGCCGGAGCTGTCTGATAATGCAGCACAGCATACAGCACTTGCAGAGGTAAGGCAGGCTTGCCTCTCCCTCCCCGGGCAGCAGTCAAGCTGACTGAGGCCTTAGCAGGACAGGAAGGACTAGGGAGGGCAAACAGGGCCACAGGCACAGAAAACCCTCTTCCTGAGTCTCTGCCCCCTTTCCAACCCATAAAGCTGCTTTATGAAAAGGCTAAGCACTGGACAGATAAGTGTACCAGGAGCATCCAAAACTGCATCACACACCTGGGAAAGTTAAAAAGAGCTTGCAAAAGTTAAAACAGCAGAAATGTGCCACACTAGGGGTGACTGGCCCCCCTGCATTGAGAGTGCAGGGGATTCTGAGGAACCTGGAGGGCCGGCAGGGCACCATGAGGCCCTGAAAGAGGGACAGAGTGTGCTTATCCACCGCAGCCGGCAGTCACCTTTAGCCCTCCTGCAATGCCTGCACGGGCAGGGCTGCGGCCAGAGCTGCGACCAGGACTCACCGAGCCCCGGCTCCGCCGCGTCCTCATGCTATGCTTCCCACCGAGCCCATCCTCCTCCTCTTTGACAGGCTTGAACATGAACGGCGGGGGGTCCACAGGCTTTTCAATGGGCGGCAGCTCGCCGTACTTCTTGAAGTGGATGCGGCAGTCTGTGCAGAGCAGGATGTTCTCCCGGCCCCCGTGGTGCCAGTCTTTGGAGGCTGCATGAGGGCAGGAACAGGGTGCCAGTCTCAGAAACTGCCTCCTCAGGGACATCCGGGTGAAGGGCCCTTCTGTGGGCGGTACTGGACGCTGGCACCATGGAACCAGCAGCGCGGGGCTTGCATGGGCACTTATGACTCAGACAACCCAGAGCCTGTGAAGGCTGCAGGGGACAGCAAGCTCCTGGGAACCACAGGAGCCCTGCACCCTGAGCACGCCCTTCCTGACCATGCTGACTGCTACGCACAGGCGCAGTCAGGAGAAGACTTCCAGGCACAGGGCAAACCTCCAGTCAGCCACTGCCCCTGGCAGGTTTCCCCTAACACAGGAAGCGTTGGGACCTGAGAGGGGAATGGGCCCCCAGCGACTCGCAGGGGCACCATGCTGCCCACTTACTGGTGGTGAAGCAGTGGCGGCAGGCGTAGCCCTTCAGCTCCTGTTCACTGTCCTCGCTGTCAAAGTCATCCTCACTGGCTGAGCTCAGGTCCACTGCGTAAGGTGAACACAAGCAGAAAAGGGAGTGTTACGGTTTGTGTCTGGATGTCACCCTAAAGCCTCCGAGAGAAGGCATTTCAGAAGGGCTGAACTTAAAGGGCACCACGCAAAGGGCAGGTGGACTGAAAGGAATAAAAGGGAGAGAGGCTTCTCTCTGCTGCTTCCTGCTCTCGGTGAACTACTCCTCTTCTGTGACCCCCTCTGCCCTGCCACCCTGCCTTAGAGCTAGCAGACTACAGACTGAAACCTCTACCAACTGTGAGCCAAAAGAGGCTTTCTGTCTTTGACTTTGGGTGCTGGGCATTTCATCTCACACTGAGAAAAGTAAGACGGGAGACACTGTCATGCTCAGCCAGGATTGGGGCCATGCTGGGGCCTCAGGCTGAGCAGGGCCCCACAGGAGGTGGCGGACCGTGCTCCTGCAGGACCACTATAGTCTCTCAGGCATGGTGGCCAGAGGTATCCTGTGAGGTGCAGGACTCAAGGACCCACGCTGCCACGTTTTGGGGCTAATGTCATGTCTGAATTCCAAGGGGGTAGGCACTGGTGCCCAGACTAGAGAACCTAGATTGGGAGAAGTATCCCCACAGTGGTGAAGGCGTCCTGAGGAATCCTCCCACCAGTCCTACCAGGTGGTTCCCCAGTGCCGCTAAGTGCGACACCACAGGCCACCATCAGGCAAGGTGTTCTGGGCCAGGACACAATGACAAAGCACTGCTGCTATGTTTCAGGTGTGTTTTTGTATTACTAGCTTTTAACCGTTCCCCTCCCCCCGCACCAAGGATTGAAACCAGGCCCTTTCCCCTGAGCTACATCCTGAGTCCTTCCTTAGAGACTGCATCTCCGTAAGTCCTGAGCTGCCTGTGATGGGCTCACCCCTAGTCCTCCTGCCTCCGTCTCCCAGAGAGCTAGACTACACATCTACCCACATCCTACTTTAAAGGAAGAGCAGAAGCTATACAGTTTACCAGGGTAAACTTGAGTCCCCATGCATACTGCATTGGGACTAGGAAGAGGAATTTGGCAAAGCAGGAGGAAAAAGAAAACCACCAAAATGCAGGTGCTATGAGCCTCAAGCAGCGCACCTTCCACTGCGTAGAAACATCCTAGATGGCCCAGGCCCCAAAAACCTCAGACCATGGCCAAGCTGATGCTCTTGAAAATATTTCAAATGGTTGGAAATATTTAAATGCTTGAAACGCTCTCTACAGAGCCTTCCCATATAGGGTCAGCACTACACTTGAGTCAGGCTTCGTGCATGTAACTACACACCCACCCTCCTAAGATCGCTGGGGACCTCAGCTCCTGCGGGTCCTTCTGGACACGTGGCTGTGTGTGCATGGTCTCCTGTCACCCTCTACAGTACCAGAGCCCCACTTACAGAATTCACTGGAGGGGGGTCTGGAGGGCGTGTTGACCGGTGTGGACGCAGTTCGAGTCTTAATCCTCCTGAACACGGCCTGCCTGCGGTGCCGCCGGTGGGCTCGGGAGCTGGCTGCTTCTGGGGTTTTCTTCCAGTAGTAATAGAAGGTAATCAGCTCCCCCTGCACAGAGGAAGGCTGGCTGTGAGGGAGTGTGCTGAGAGGTGCCCCCAATGATACAGGAGGTAGTGTGTGGCAGAGCTGGCTGGGAAAATAAGCAAGACCTGTCAACTTCAAGGCCCCAGATAGTGGCAATCAATTCCCAGGACCCTGTATGCGGAGCTCCCTGGGAGTGCCCATGAAATGGGGACATCATGGAAGGACACAGATGCCACGAGGAGCCTGCTGCTGTGACTCCTCCTGGTAGCCTACTTGGACACTGAGATGCAGCATGCACTCTCACTTCTGCTTTCACCCCTTCTTCTCTGTGCGGCCCAAGTTTGCTCTTTAGAGCCAGTTTTCCCTTTATCCCTCATTCCTCAATTTTCAGACTTCTGGGACTCTGTTTGACTTGTCTCATTCAATTCTTTGTTTAAGGCAAGGATACTTTTAGCTGGGAAGGTATTTCTAAAGGAACCAACCCACACCACCACACACTTCTGCCTGGACAGGAAGTGGCGTGGTAACCCTTCTGCTAGAGATGAGAACAAAGCCTGCTCCTGGAAGTGCGGAGGAAGCCCAGCTGAGCTGGGTATGGTGGTGCACACCTATGATCCCACCACCTGAGGAGGCTGAGGCAGGAGAAACCTAAAATTGAAGCTCAGCCAGGGAAACTTACTGACTTAGCCCCGCAGATTCAACTCCTGGACACCAAGAAGTCACCCCACCTGGTATCTGCTGCTGTACCAGACACCACTGTTCCTGCCTCTGGGAGCTCCAGCTTTGTGTGCACTCAGAAGGTGCATACAAGCAGCACTCGCGGGAAATCATGGAGGTGTGTAAGGAACACCCCCTTGCCGGGACCCTGCTCTGCAGCCTCCTGCTCCACCTGAAGGCCCGCAGCTGGAAGGAAGCCCCAAGGGCCCAGCCACACAGCAGTGCCCACACCAAGAGGACGTCCCTGTCCTCAAGTCAGCCTTCACAGCACCAAACAGTTATTTTGTCTGTGGTCCTGCAGAGGGAGCAAAGGCTCCTCCCTGAAAATACAGCAAACGCCCCCTTTTTACGAATGGGCACTACTGGCACAGCCCATCCCCACAGGGCGCTGCGCACAGCTGTCCTACAGGCATGCAGAGGTTGTTCAGTTAGCCCTGATGACTCAAGGCCAACTTCTTCAAATAAACCTTCCAAGGTAAAATCTCTTTACCTAAAACAAACAAACAAACAAACAAACAAACAAACAAACCCAGATCACATTTTTCTTCCCTCACTAAATCAATACTGGACTCCTAGACCCTGGCCATCACCCTGCAGCCAAGAATCCAGACCAGAGAGCACCACCACAGCACTAAGCCACTGGCTCATACAGGAGGCAGCGAAAAGAGAAGGCACAGCCTCTGGTCTCCAGGGGGCCAAGGCTAGGAAGACTGCAGACAGCCTCACCAGCTCCCACAGTGGAGTCTGGCCAGGCCAGATTCTACCTAACAGCACTGGCAGCAGTGGCCTTTGAATCCCTTGACAAGTACCAGGCAGATTCCACAATGAGAAACGGCTTCTGTGAGACAAGCAGAGTAAAGCAGGCACATGTGCCTTCTTCCTTCGCAGAGCTGGACTTGATGCCTGGGCACTTTTGTAAGCGGTTGTGAAGCAAGGCAGACTGGGCCTTCTACGCATCTAGCAGGCATCTTGTGGAGCCGGGGATGTGTTTCAACCTTCCCCAGCACTGAATGATAGACCAGTGATTGCCAGTATAAACCAGATGAAGCACTGCCTGCCCCAGGCCAGGGAGCCAGCCAGCCAGTCAGGGTGAAGAGTGAGACACTCACAGAGCCATGGGATGGTTTGGAGGGACAAGGGAAGGTGTGGATTTTGCCCCTGGGATTCTGCCTTTTTCTGGTATTCTTGCACAAATGCAGCTACTCGGTGGCCAGCTCATCCTGGGCCTGTGTGGGTTCCGCCACCCCACACCCCCACCTTCCTGATGGGGATGTGCATGCATCCTCACCACTGGTTTGGTGCTGTGGGACACAGACTCCTCAGCCCACAGACCTGCCACTGGATTTCCAAGGAGGAAATTCAAAACCAAATTCTAGGCAGGCAGGTCACAGTCACCTTTCAATTCCTTTGCCAGAGCGGCATAGTTTATCACTCCAAGCAGGTGACTGGTCTGATAAATCACAGCCCAATGCCAAAGCTGAAAGAATGAGAAAAAACTCACAGTACTTCCTTTTCAGCTCCTTTAGGGACCAATGAGTGACAGAGACTTGGGACATCAGAAGGAATGAAAAACTAGAGGAGATGGAAGGGAACAAAAATGGGGCAGGGATCAGGTGGGAAAGAGTCAGCTGGGCTTCTACCCTGACAGTGAGTCTCTCCCGAAGGCCGAGATGAAGGCTGAGACGCAGCTATCCAGATGTTTCTAAATAGCGTAGTGTGAACGCAATATCGCCTTCACAGTTATGAATGATTACCTCTCAAATACGAATGTTCACAAAGTCTCCCGTGGTTTTAAAAGATAGCATAACTTGCGGGCTAAACCACAAGAAGCCAGAGTTCAGTGAGGCTGAGCAGCACACAACAGGACAGAAGAAAGGCGCAGGGAAGCCGGCTGGGCCTCCACGCTTACACCTGTGCTGTGTGTGCTCGTGGCAGGCGCCCAAGTCCAGACTGGAAAGAAAGGAACGTGAGGCTGAAATCAAGCTCAACTTTCTGTTAGCACGTAAGTAACAGATTTGAAACAAGAACTAGGAATTCAGGAAAACAAGAACAGATCTCACCAGCTAAGTGCCAAGGAGCAAAATGACACAGGCCTTACAGCTACAGATTCATCCTCAATAAGAAAAAGAGGGAGCACATAGATCTAACACTTGGGAAGGTAGGGGAGCGACATGAACCTACACTGCCAGCAGGGACATAAAATGGTCCTATTGCTCTGTGTCTGTAACGTTAAGCAAACACTCATCACATAACCCAGCAATTCCACTCCTGGCTATTGGCCCCAAAATAAACACATATTCACACAAGGCTTACTCACTGGAATACTACTTTGGAGATAAAAAGAAACTACTAATAAGACAACGTTGGTGAATCCCTGTTAAATGAAAGCAGCCAAACCAAAAAAATGGATAACTGATTCAATTTAGTTCTAGAAAAGGCAGATCTAAAATCACAAACAGCAATGGCTGCCTAGAGCCTGGAGGGTGGGAAGATTGGCAAAGTGTGTGCAAAGGACCCACGAGAACACTGGGGATAGAAATCATCCATAACTCGATGGTGGTGTTATTTATAGGGTTGTATACAGTTGTCATACTGCGGTCACAGAACCTGGCGGTCTCGGGGGGCTCCTGTGTCTCCAGGCAACAGGGCTTTGGCCTACTCCAGCCTCTAGACAGCTTTCTCATCCTTCTGAAGCTCCCTCCCAAATCTTGGACCAAAAGAAAATAAACCTTTTTGTGTGTGTGTGGGGGGGACACCTTAGTAAAGAGTACATTTAAGTGGGTATATTTTTATTTTATTACACACACAATATCAGTTACATGCCGATAAAAAAAAAACAAAATTCAGTGAAATAACAAATCCAGGCCAGGTTTTATTAGCCGCCTCTCCACCGCTGTAATGTCTACCAAGGGATTAAACACTGGAATGGAGCGGATCTGGGAGGATTAGAAGCGGCACACTGGTGACTGCACGGGTGGCTAGGTCTTGAGCACAAACAAAAGAACACGCTGGGGAAGCTTTGGTTCTACAAATAGGGAGTGAAGCAGCTTGCAGCCTCGCTAGGAATGGAGTCAATTGAACTGTAATCAAACATGCATAGTGTGTGCTGCAGAGACCCACCGCACATAAACTCAGGAACAAAAGCTATTGCAGAAATCAATAGCTTACTGAAACATTAACAGAGGCAATCATTGATCAAAAGGCGGCTCCACAAAGGCAGCCTTGCAAATTAGCTCTTGCTTTTGCTTGCAAGCAAACACCAAGGTCTAAATGCTGTCGGCAGGGATGGCCTGTAATGATCATTTTGTTCCTGATGCTCTCACCTCGGCCCACAACAAAGCTTCACAGCCAAAACATCTGACAGCTCAGCGCCGTAACTACACATGGCATGAACTACGCTGGGGTGGGATGTGGGCACACAAGGGAGAAGAAAGGGGCAAAACCATCTCCCATCACTGCAAGCTGCATTCATGCCAAGGGAAGTGCTCCAGCCCACTGGCCTGCTGTTCAGCTGGTTTTCCAACTCCTTTTCAGTTCCTTTTTTATCAGTGGGGAAGAGAGAAGGGACAGGCTAGATCAACCCCACAGGTTCACAGCAAAAGGCCACAGGCCGAGGTAAGAGCCTCTGCTTAGCCCTAGTAGCAGGACCCCTACTTAGCAACTAGTACCTTCCAGGGTACACAGTGTGGGGTTAGAAAACACCCATCATCAGGTTCCTAGGGGTTTACACAAAAAGAAAAGCCAGAGGAAGGGTGCCACTCACTAAGGCCTACAAAGAGGACACTGCTTAGGGCAGTGCTATAAGGTGTGTTGGGGAACTCATGGAGGGAAGCAAAAAGAGCACAAAACACCATAGTGGCAGGCAGCATCCTTCTCTACATTACTTGACCTCTGCACCCTCCCGGTCAGCCTGCAAGGTCACTCTCACAAAGCTGAAACAACCCATGCCCCTCCAAGGCTGGGCCAATCTTGGCTAGAGCAACAAGGCCCAGGGCTGTTGCCTCTAGCCTCTCAGAGGCTTGGCAGTACATTCCACATCGGTAAGTGGTGGGTCCCAGGCAGGAGCTGCCAGCCCTGAGGCAGGCAGTGGGCAGATGGGTCTTCCTCCAGCTCAGGGTACCTCTGACATATGTGAGACACAACATTACTTAACTTTACTTTGGTGCTGCAGTGCTGTGATAAACTACACATTTTCTCTCTTAGGTGGCAGTGTAGAGCAGACTGCTAAGGAGTGAGAGTGCTGAAGCAGGCCAAGTATCAAGAGCCTTCTCCCTGCATGCGTGCCTGTCCCTGCCTGGGCAGCAGGA